AGGGTCCAGTTGGCTGTGTGTCCATGTTGTATGTGGTATAATGGAATCCACAGCACTAGGATTATAGGTGTGAGCCACTGCTCCCGGCCCTAGGGCACAGTTGGCTGTGTGTCATGTTGTATGTGTTATAATGATCCAGTCGGGGCAGATGGTGTAGACATCGCCTCATATGGTGAAAACATTCAAAGCCTCTCTTCTAGCTGTTTCACAGCATGCCTTGTTTTATTAACCTAGTTAATAGAACACCTGAGTTCATTCCTCCTGTCCAATTTAACTTTGTCCCTGTTGCCCGTCCTGTCCTCACCCCCCTCCTCTGCCCTCCCAGTCTCTGGGAACCACTGTTCTGCCCTCTGCTTCTTACAGTACCAACTTTTCTTCCTTATATTCCACATATGTGAGACCACGTGGTATTCCTTTGTGTCTGGCTTAATTCCTTTAACCTAACATCTTCCAGGTGCACTCAAGTTGTCACGATGTCAGGATTTTGTTCATTTTTATTGCTGAGTAGCATTTCTTTGCACATCTATATTTTCTGTATGGATTCGTCCATTCTTGGACACTGAGGATGGTTCACACTTTGACTTGTCAGTGGTGTTGCAGGGATCTCTCCACCATATGGTTCATTTCTTTAGGCTGTGTACTCGGTGGTGGCATTGATGGCTCGTATGGCAGTTCTATTTTGTGAGGAATGTCTATACTGTTTTTCATAATGGCTGTACGTAATCAAGTGCTTTGGAAGCATTTTTTTTTTTTTTTTTTAGAGACAGAGTCTTACTTTATTGCCCACAGTAGAGTGGTCACAGCTCACCCCAACCTCCAGCTCTTGGGCTTGATTCTCTTGCCTCAGCCTCCCTAGTAGCTGGGACTACTCGTGCCCGCCACAACACCTGGCTATTTTTTTGTTGCAGTTCGGCCAGGGCTGGGTTTGAACCCGCCACCTTCAGTATATGGGGCCGGTGCCCTACTCACTGAGCCATAGGTGCTGCCCAAGAAGCATTTTTTTTTTAATTAGGAAAACCCAATGTGTGTATAAGACAAAGAAAGATACTACAGTATGTGTTTATAAGCCCATGCCCCTCATTGGCCTTCTAAGAAGAAGGAATTATTGCTCACCTCGTCAACCGCAGGTGCTGGGCCCTGCTAACTGGGGTATAGAGAGGACAACCGGAAGCCACCAAGAGTGCTGATTGCTCTGTGCGAGGGAGGTGGCCTGAGGAAAAAGAAGTTGCAGAAAATTATGAGACTTTGAGAGTCTATGGAATAATCTGGGTGATCTGAGGGGGAGAGCTGAGTTAAGGAGAATATAAGTAAATTTTTGACAAGACTGGCCATAAACCAGCTCCATTTTACACATAACACAAATAAAAGTCAATCTTCTCAGCAGAGATGTCCAAAGGTATAACCTCCCCAAATATGCTCAAAACAAACTGCTTCTGCGGGAAGCTCTCTTCCGTGCATTTGTGCAGACAGCTCAGTTCTTTTAAAGTAAAGAATAAGGCTTGATGCTGAGCACAGCCAGCATCTGCTTGAGCCATGGCTGGGGAATTCAGGAGGCTGCCTTCCCACAAGTGCCTCCTGCAACCCCGTGCAGGCAGCCTCAAGGGGACTTTCACCCTTTATTTCACAATTGAGGCAAAGAATTAACTGAGCCTTTTACAAAGAACTGCAGACTCCACCCAGGTGTGTATTCAATCTTGTAATATTTAAGTATTCAAATACACTGTGTATAACGATAGCATAAGGAAGGCAAATCATTGGCCTTCCCCACTTCATTCAGCAGGACAGCAAACTTAGTAATATTTGATTTAGGCCAACTTCACAAAAATTGGGCGTGTCCTTCAAGATAGGAAAAATGAAATAAAAAATAATCAATTAAATAGTATGATTTTACAACTTACCTCCTAAATGTCTACAAATATGGCCCTGTGTGTGTGTGTGTTCACCTGGTACATAGCAATGCATTAAAGAGCTGAGATGGAATTGAACAGAAAAAAATATATAATTATGATGATAAAATGAATTTAAAGAAAAATAATAGGGTGGTATCAGAGAAAGATACTACGCTATCGAGTTGGCAAATGAGTTGAGTTGCTAATTTTTCCAAACCTAAATATTGAGGGTAAAATAATTTCAAATTTGATATTTTCAAAAGGGCAGTGAAAACTGAAGATCCACAGCTCCCCAAAATGAAAAGGAAAAGAAGAAAATCCTATAGAAAATGGAGACTCGCGAGTACCTCAGTGTGTAAGTCCTACTCAATGATTTTCCACCTAGTTACGAAATGAACTGCCTGGCTTGTGCACCTTGTTCTTTATCACTGGAATGTTTATAAGACAAGGAAGACAAGTACATGTAAACACTATCAAATGATTTTGACATCTGACCTGTTATTATTTATACATGTCTGCATTATTGATACGCATTTCATTTTTTGGACAATGGTTACACATATACATTTTATTATGGGAAAAGGACACAACACAGCATCTATGTTAAAACAAGGACATGCATCTCAGGAGAAGGTCGTCTCCCAGCAAGGGGTCAGGAGAGACTGGGAACAAGCTCAGTTGTCCTCCCTCTGCAAGGTCATGGCAGCACGTTCCTGCTGCCTCAGATCAGGAGCCACTGATGTGTTCACGACTACCTAGGAATGCAGTGGCTATAGAATGGATGGTGGGCCTGGACGTGGCCTGTGAGTCACTGTTTGCTGACTTTTAAGGGACCTGAGCCTGGTCACCAGAGACAGATGTGGGGACCTGGAATCACCTCGCCAGCAGCCTGTGGAGGAGGACCCTCGGGAAGCAGTAAGCCCGTGGTATCCTGAGAACCATCCAATTCCCAGGGCTGCTTGTGTCCCAGGAGACAGACAGGCCCCAGTGTCACCTGAGGGGAGCAGCAGGCATGGGGAGAAGAGAGGATGAGAGGGTGGCTGGGCAGCAGAGCCCAGGAGAGGCCTGTCCACTGGTGATATGCATTTTAAAAATAAGAATTTAACTTAAAAACTTACTTGTTTAGACTTGAGCAATGAACATCCCTTCTTTGAATGTTATTGATTATATAACTTTGATTGATTATATAACTATCTCGATTCTACCTTCTTGCAGAAAATGAAGTGTAGTCTATTGAAAGGGGCTAAAAAATGTGAAATTCTGAAATTGAAAGGGGGTATATGCTGAACTGCTCTTAGTATGAGGGTGTTATTTTAAGAATAAATTGTAATCTCTAGTTAGGAAAGGCAGTCAACCCGTCTATGAACTATTACCATGTCCATGATCTATTGGGGACGTGGTAACAGTGTCCCCCAAGGTGTCTCCATGTCCTGGCTCCCATGACTTCTGCATTACAGTTCTCAGGTTGTAACCAGGCCTACCAGAAACTGTTTCAGAACTTTCCCAGAGAGAAGACCTGTCAGAGGGGCAAATGTGAATGGTTAGCCTAACGAACTAAAGTATTCTTTATCTTTTTCTTATTCCTATTGAAGAGAACTTATTTATTTACTCTGTATTTAGTGATGTAAGAATTGTTAAATTGTAAAAAATATATAAGTATATATAAAAAGTGTGTTTAGATTAAGAACTTCTAAAATACAATTATAAATACTCTTTCCCAATTTTCAGCTTAATGAACTTAGTGCACTTACTTGTTGCCCATTCTTCTTTTCCTTAACTAATAATCCCTTTCCGTTATCGTTTACGACAGAATTTGAGATGTTTGTGTTTCAGCCACTGTTTTGCTCACAAGCTCTGGTGCCTCATGTTCATGTTCACAAATTTCTCACGGTGAAATATTTTAAGATATAAAGTAGAGGAATGTGGACTGAAAGCCAGCAGTTCTCAGCCCAAGGCTGGTCCTTGAATGTACTGGCCTCCATCAGTAGAAGGTTTTATTGTTAAGTTTTGAGCTAATACTTAGGAATCAGGAGATTTCACAGTGTAGTAAGTCTGCACTGCGGCTCTCTCCTGGACAATGGGAGCCCCGGGTGGAGCAGGCCACCTTCTCAGGGCGGTGACTGGCTGGAGCAGAGTGGAAGAGAATGTGTTCCCAGCCTTCCACACTTGTTTGCATTTCTTGCCACAGGTATTGAGTTTTGAAGCTATTCTCTAAAATACCACACAGCAAAGGATACTTGCAGGACCTGTTTAAATGTCCGTTTGTAAGGCCAGTGAGGGCCCTTCACCCAAATCTTTGCTTGTGTCACCATCTCAAATTTTATTGAGCTTGACTTAGCCTGTGGTGCAATCCTATGTTTAAATACCCGATGTGGCAACTGTCTGCTTATCAAAAGTTTTATTTAATATTTAATTGCAAATACTTCTTCAATTTTTTTTTCTTTTGAGACAGAACCTCAAGCTGTCACCCTGGGTAGAGTGCTGTGGCATCACAGCTCACAGCAACCTCCAACTCCTGGGTTTAAGTGATTCTCTTGCTCAGCCTCACGAGTAGCTGGGACTATAGGCACCTGTCACAATGCCTGGCTATTTTATTTCTTTCTTTTTTTCTTTCTTTCTTCTTCTTCTTTTTTTTTTTTTGGTTATAGTTGTCGTTGTTTGGCAGTCCTGGGCCAGGTTCAAACCTGCCAGCTCTGGTGTATGTGGCTGGCACCTTAGCTGCTTGAGCTACAGGCACTGAGCCTGAAATTTTCATTTCACCCACTTCTAGAACTTGCTGTTTTACAGTAAAGTTTAATTAAATTCTTACTTCCTAAGAGTATTGTGAGATATTCTTCACTCTGAGAGAATCGATTGATTTTAATCAATAAGATACTTAATAGGGATGAATTTTTGTGGAAACTATCTTGATGTAGTAAAACTGAATGAAAACTGATACCCAAAATACAAAGGATATGCACTGCAATTTTATCCTAAAATTTGGAACGTCTGCTCCCTACATGGACACAGAAATCTTTTTATTGTATTATTTACTTTTTTTTCTTCCTCTTTAGGTACATCTCAGCCTTCTGGTCAAGCATGCCGAGAAAATATAAAATATCTTAGAAAGAAAGTGGAAAAAGACACCACAGGGCCTGTGTTTCATCAGACTAGGGGGACATCAGGGAAGTCTAAGGGAAATGGAGAGGAGCAGACGTCTGCCTCTAGGAATGGGAAGCAGAGTTGCTCTCCTTTCCCCAAAGCTAAGAAACGGCTTCCATCGGACGGGAAAGTGTGTAGAGGGCAGGAGAACTGCAGCCCCCGCTCCGCCGTCTCTCCCCGGCTAGAAGGAGTCTCACCAGCGCTCATATTCAATGACGGAGGAGAGTCATCATCAGGAAAACTTACACTGCAGGACGTCCCAAGTGCAGGAGAAGCCTTCAGACCCGCAAAAGGCAAGTACATCACAGGAGTAAACTGTGGGGCTTTCAGTGTGAAAATAGAAATCAAGAAAAGCTTTTTCTATAAAGCGGGAATACGGTTCCCAACAAAAAAGAGGTGTGCAAGATGTCACCAGTGTGTCTCTGTCAGACACAGGGAGAGACGCCGCCCTTCCAGGGACCCCCTTCCCAAACACAGGCGTGTCCTGGGAGAAGCGGCCCAGCCCCGGGAGCCCGAGCGGCCGTCCAAACGCCAAGGAGAAACGGCCAGAACTGAGACCCCCCTGCTGAAAGTCAGCGTGGTAGGAAAAGACCTCAAAGTTAAATACGTGAGTAAGGAGCAGAAACTATTAATTAATATAACTCATCCTAAAAGAAGAGAAAAGATAACCGAGTCCAGAAGCATTCCCTCCAGTCACACCCCTGAAGGACCTTCGGGATCTCACTCGCAGTCTGGAATTAAGCCCCCTGAAAAGAGGCCGCCTGGAAACCAGCCTCGGGGCCCAGACCAGAGGCAGGTCTCTCCTCCCGCTGTGTGCTCCGTCCAGAAGGAGGAGAATTCTGATACAGTCACGGTTTCTCTAACTTCCACTCCAGAGAGGGAGAGAGAGAAGCCTGACTCCTCACCGTGGGTCTCCGCTGACCGCCAGGTCCCAGTTGCCGGGTCTCAGCAGAAGGCCTTGAAAATACCTCAGGACATCCGCCAAAAGGACCACTTCTCTGTGGCCCAGACTTTGCTCAAAAGCATCCTTTCTGCTCCACATAGCACCCTGCAGACCGCAAGTTTCAGTAATACCAATTTGAGTAAAACGCCTTTTAAGAATCCTGAGGATGGACATAAAGGGAGGAAAATCAACTTCGATATCTCGGACAATTTCACATCGGCCCAGCACGTACAGCAGAGCACAGAACAATCGAATCTTTTGCCAAGTGCCCTTGCCGACGTCTCTCTGTTTCAGAAGGGCAGAGCCTCCCCTGGACGCTCTGGGTCTTCCCCAGACCCACAGCCCCGGGCAGGACAGGCGGCCAGCGCGGGGCCCGGGAGCGGCTGGCCTGAGCCTGCGCCTGCGCCTGCGCCTGCACCTGCCCCGCGCTCCTCCCGCGCACGCGCTCCGCGGCCAGGCGTCCCGCCCAGCCAGTCTCACTGGGCCCACGGATATCCAGAACCCGAAGAAAGCCCCGGGGACCCGATTTCCTCTAATCACCGTACGGAATTCGTGATGGTTTATGAGAGGGAGCTTGCTGCTGGGACTGCCAGAGACGTCAGCAAAGCCGCTGCCCACAGTGACTCTCCCGCAGAAGCCCCGCAGCTCCCGGAGGGGGAGCGAGCTCTGTTGGCTGCCAGGCCTGAGTCCCACGGCCCCGCTGCGGGGAGCGCGCTCGGCTGGGTCAGCCACGGCTCCCCCGAAGGGGACCAAACCGGGGTGCCGGTAAGTCAGCGCCCAGAGGCAGCAGCCCCCGGACAGACAGAGGCACCAGTCACGACCTTGGTAACTGCCGACCTAGAGCAAAAACTAATTACTCCCAATGCTGCGGAGGTCGCAGCTGATTCTAATGGTCCCATGGGAAAGAAGAACCCTCGTGAGGTACCCAGCTCTCCGGAAAATGCTGAAAAAGACAAATGTCAGATAATGCCACTGGTGAGGAACGCAGGCCACAGAGGTTCTGAAGACCTCTCACACGGCAACCATGATGAAGTGTTTACTCTAGAAGATTTTCCAACGAGCACTGCTGAGGCCAACTGTGGAGCGGGTGTGTCCGATAATTTGCGCCTTACCGAGGAAACACTGCCCAGTGATGCGGAACAAGATGGGAACCGAGCCGAAAACAACTTCAGACGAACCAGTTTTAAACAGGAGACAGCAGAGTACCCAAGGGTTTCATCAACAAGGCTGAATTCTGAAGGAGATGAGAACAGAAATTACTATCACCAAATAGACGTGCTGCTATCACCTCAGAAGCAAAAGGCTCTGACAGGTACGGCGGGCCATATAGAATCTCTCACTTTCATTAGTTTTACATGTTTGAACTTTGCCAAGTCTTAAAGTAACCACTCTTTTATTGCTTGGGATTTTTCTTCATTGCTAAAGATTTATTATGTAGTTTAGAGTTACGTGAAAATGGGCAAGCATGTATCAGTCTTCTTTACATTACACCCATTGCACCCATAAATAGTGCGTAGGAAAATCACCAGGGCTGCAGTTTAATACAAAGTAAAAAAAAAAAAAAAAAATCAATTTCTCTTTAAAAGGTTGATACATCACCAAATCAATTTGTAGGAAAGGTTAACCTTTTGCTACTCCTAAATAATTCACCATTTCTTTCCTTCTTGCAAGTTAAGCATGTTTAGAAGAAGTTGTTTGTAATAAATGTATATTTAAAGCTACAGAAGCCTGGGCTGTGTGTCTCAGGAGGCTGTATGGAATAGTAATTAAAACAAAGGACAAAAACCAGAAACCACCATGGCTAACCCTGTCTGAGCCATTCACCGGGCCTCTGACCTCCCACAGAACCTCTGACCTCCCTTGTGCATTGCTTGGCCCTGCTCAAAGTGTTGATAGAACCCAGAGGCCTTCCAGACCTCAAGAAGGGCTAAGATAGAGTTGTTCCCTAAGTACGTAATACTGCCCATCTGCTTTCAATCTTGGATCAGGGCCATATCATTTTGGTCACTGCATAGAAGGCCATTGTTTTTGTCAATGAGTCCAAATTATTTTACATTTAATGTTAGCGTAACTCCATATCATAAACTAAAATACATCTTGAATAAGTAAAAATTTTCCTCCAAACTGCCAGTAATGTTCCTAGCAGTCTTGGAAATAAGATTGGAATGATGAAAGTTTAAGGAGAAGTTATCCTCTCTTTGTTGCCCTCTCCCAAAATTTTTGAACGAAGTTAATAAAATTTAGAAGTAGAAATAAAATGCAAAACACATAATCAATTACACAAATGTTAGCTTAACATATGAAATTTGCTTTATGGAGGATAAATGCCCTAAAACAGCACAAAAACTGTGCTAGGTCCTCCTGTCCCTCAGCTGGGGATCTGAGACGTTAATTTCAAATTCTTTTCAGCCCACAATTACTGGAAAGCTCAAGGAAGCCCACAATGAGAGCCCTCCACCTCCCAGAGGAGACACATGTCCCCTGCACGGACAATCCTCCCAGCCTGGCCCCAACACCAGGGACCTCCCAGGACCGTCTCTCCCAACAAGGCACATTCTTTGCAAAGTCAGTGATTCAAGTGAAAATCCTCCCAAGATGTATATTACACTTTAACAGACCTTAAAATTGTCCCACTTGGTAATCATCCCAGCTACTGGTTCCCTAGGTTACAAAGTTTCATCAAAAGTCTGTTCCTACAACTCTCTCTGGACCTTTTACTCCTCTTTCCTTTGATCACTGTGTTCTGGCCACAATGAGTTACTTGAATTCCCAGAACCTTCCAGCTGAGCTCTCACACCAGGCCCTTTGCATGACCTGGAGCGGCGGGGCCCCATACGCCCCCAGGTGCATCTCACCTCCTGATCTTCAGACTCCTGCCCAGGTGGTCTGCTCCTGGGGTGTCTGCCTCAGTTTATAGCTGCAGTCTGAGCCACCCCCATTCCCACCCAGGCCAGCTCACTCTCCTCTCAGTGTTATTTTTATACATACTCTTTTCACCTTCTAATCTGCTGCACAGTTGACTGGTTTATTTGGCTTGTGGTCTGCTTCCTTCCACTAGTTAACTGTCCATACTTAAGTACAGATCTTTCCCGTTTGGGTCATCGCTACACCCACAGAACTGGTGCCTGCGCCATGCTGTGAGCGCTCAGTGAGTATTTGTTGAATGAAAGAACAAAAGCAGGGAAGCCACCTCAGGTTTCTTTGTAGAATATTCTGGCCACGTACTGAAACAGCAATTAAAATATTGGTATTAAGAAGCTATTTGGATGTACAGAGGTTTGCTGGATTTGACTGTCCTGGAGGTGTGAGTGTTTCATACTTTCCTTATTGTCAGCAAGCTATGGATCCCTCAGGCCAGGACTGGGTCTTCTTTTCAGGGCCTAGGCTGCTTTGAGGAACCGGATTTGGGACTATTTCACCAGAGAATTATACACGTGATACAGACACAAACTTATGCCTCTGTTTTTAGTCTGACTGCTCAAAATCTATCTCTGTACTTCAGATCGAGTTCCCACGTGACTGGTGACTGGGATGTTTGTGCAGTTGCTTCCAACACACCCATGTGTTTAGGAATTAACTAGAGTGAAGGTCACAATCTGGGCCATCTGCGGGAGCCAGGCAGGCAGCACGGGAAGTCTGGAGGGTCGGCACAGAGGTTAGGATGTATCTAGAGGCCATGAGAGCACGGCCAGCACATCAGCTCCTAGAATTCTCAGAATGGCTGTAGATCTGATTTTCTTTATACGAGTCTTCAGATTATATAAGACGGAAGAGATACATTAGGGATGAAGAATCGATGACCTAGATTAGCAAGAAGAAGTAGGCGGGGGGCGGGGGGTGGGGTGTAGTGGGAGGCAGCAGAACCAGGTGGTAAAGAGAGAAAGGGAGCAGTGGGTCTGTCCTCTTTTGGGTTCAGCCTATTCATACCTGGGTAAAAGTGTGCTTGCTCAAGGCTTCGTTTTTTTCAGCCATAAATGGAGTGAAATATATCTTTATGAGCTCTGCCAAACAATCAGAAATACTGTATCATAAAAAATTTTAATAAGGAAACCAAAACTAGGCCACCCTGAGAAAATGATGGGCAATGAAAAGGTTTAGATGATATTTTACATGGCATAGAAATACTGATAATTAAATAGAACTTTGTATGAAATAGGGACAAAGCCTACAAGCAATGTGTTAAATATTTTATTTCCCTATGCCCCTAAAGTAGGACTTATTCCAAGAGCTCACACCAGGGTAGAAAGGCATAGAGAACTGCAGATCTGAGAACGTTTGGGGTCCCAAGCTCTGTGCCAAGCACTAGAGGTACACAGATGAATAAAAGTTATTCCTTTTCTTGTAGCAGAATACAAGTGTTGGGATAATTTCCAGCAAGATGGCTTCTGATGCAGTTGGGTTATTTGCACATGTGCGAACATTTCAATATTCCTCACGCATGCACAGCCCAGGTCCCTCTGCTGTGAGCCTGACACCTGCAGCCAGGATCTGTCCAGGTCTGCTGGGGTTCCCTGGTCTCCCTGCCCCTTCTCAGGCCTACCCCATCTTTCAAGTGGGAGCTTTCTGCCTTCACACTCACGATTGAGACAGAAGGCCATTTGTGCTGCTGTAGCAACTTCCCAGAGGCGAGGCAATTTATAAAGACTATGAACTTATTTTTTACAGTACTGGAGGCTGAGAAGCCCAAGATTAAAGAGCCAGTGTTAAGTGCCTGCTGCAGGCCCCACTCACAGCTACCCAGGTGGCTCCTTGTTGTTGCATCTTTACCAGGCGGAGAACAAAAGGGCAGAAGGGCCTCAGTAGCTAACTCCAGCCCCTTCAAAGGGTATAAATCCCATTCATGAGGGTAGAACCTTAATCACCTCCTAAAGGGTCCGCCTCTTAATAATATCATATTGGGTCTTAGATTCCAATGTATGAAATTTAAGGGGACACATACATTCAAACTATAGCCCTTGGTAAAGCATTTGTGATTTTTAATGCATTAATGTATTATCCCCATAAAGTGACAATGTGCATTTTAACAGAGTCCCTCAAGAGACTTGGGTATCTTCGCTCCAACACAAGCAAAATCTTCTATTGCCTGAAAGGCTCTGTAAACATCTACTGGGTTTTCATGGAATGAGGGAGCAACTCACATGTAATGAGGAAGATTACTGAGATACAGATTCAGCAATTCAGCGTACCATGGAAAGGCTTTCTACCCGGGTGTAGTGTACAAGGTTAGGCTGACTCAACAGGTAGTAAATTTGAGTCTGGGAGGTGTTTGAGCTTAGACTGAATTTCTGCTTGGTAAAAATTCTCTAGAAGTGCTACAAGTGTTTTGAGCATGTAGAGGGTGGCTGGACCGATTTACTTCCTATGTTTTTTGCAAACCGGAGACTCTACAAATACTGAGCAGGACAGTGGCAGTGATGCTTTGTACGTGGTGGGGATTTCAGTGGTTCTCAAATCACACTTCCAAACATACCATAGGGGCACACACTTCTCCTAATTTTGCTACATAGAGACATCCGAGAGGAAAACTGTGCCCTCCACATTACTGAGCTGTATTTCCATCCACACCTGTCTTGGGCTCAGAGGATCTCCTTCCCCCACCCCACTCCCTAGCAATTTAAAAAAGGAATTCCACTGACAGATAAAATATTAGACATTAGAATATTCTGTTCCTCGTGAATGCTTTATAGTCAACCTGGACTCTCTGGCTCAACAAATAGTAGAACCAGAACAAGCATTGGAGAAAATGACCAGAGGTCTTTGGTAATTTCAAAAGTTATATCACTCTGTATAGTTCCAGAGAGCAAAAGTTATCCTGCTCAGTTTGGCAGCCCCAATAGAAACACAGTGGAAATTAGTGTGTAGAAAGTGAGCATGAAATACTGTAGAATGAAGGCTGTTTGCTGTCCCCTTCTTATTGCCCAGGGAAGAGGTGGGAGTCCACAGCAGAGTGCTAGAAAATTGGAGAAATTAGGTACTGATTCTTCTCTCTCCCATCCGTTTGACCCTGAGAAGTAAATTTTGAATTGTTATGTAAATGGTCATTAATAATTATAGATAGAAATAAAGGATATTATTTATTCATAGATAACATAAATAAATGTATAGATACAGATGATTTAAAAGTTTTGAGAACAAATTTTGAAATTGATAAATCAGATTTTAGTTTGCAAGGACCAAATTGTAAAAACTCATGAAATAGAATGAAAATAAATGTTGAGACTTGGCCTCGGTTTAAATTTCTATTGCTTGTCTTTCATGTAGTATCAGAAAAAGTAATATCAAGTAAAATCTTAATCAACGCTAGTTCATCACATTACTTTTTAGGTATATTTTATGTTCTGTTTGGGTTTTCTTTTTTATTCTGCTTTTCTCAGTTATTCCCTGAAAGTTTGGTTGTGTTGTGGTTGTTCATTTGTAACTTTTTTTCTTCTAATTAACACAATGTCATGGTGTTAGAGTTTGTGGTGAGAGAAGGCAGCAGTTTGGAACTATATGGAGTATTTGAAGTTATTATTTATTCACATCTAAAATTAACAACGCTTCATGCATTTCAATATCTTTTTCCTCATTTTGAAACAACATATGCAACAAAAAATATTAAGGAATTTGAATGTTTGTGATTAATAGTAGTCAAACCATAAACACTTGAGTTTAAGAGTGAACTCATTATCATGCATTATAGTTGAATTCGATATTCAGGTCAAAATATTTTGTCGTCTTATTCAGGATGTCGGAGACGTACTTGACCCTTACCTGGCCATTTGCCCCTCCGCGGTGGCCAATACGGTGTCAGGCTTACCGCTGGCACCCCAGAATAGTTAAATCCAGAACTAGAATAATTTCATTCAACTTGGAGATGCCCCTTCTCGCCTTTTCCTATATAAACCCACTTTTTAAGATACGTAGCTTTTTCTTTTAAGTGATAACATTTTTATAAAGTGAACGACAAGGAATTTGAAATTATTGTAGTTCTAGTCGACTATGATTCTATGTTCTAAAGACTGGAATATTTGATACTCTATCTTGAAATCTTGCCTCACGTTCATACGTAATGTGATTTATTCCAGATTGGAATTTGGAAATAAATAATCTCCGAAAATTGTCCCAGGAATTGGCTCCCAGAAGCGCCAGAGCCAGCGACGGTTCCCAGGAGGAGGCGGTGGCCCAGTGGGCGCGAAGGCGGCAGCAGTTCCGAGAGGGCAAGCGCTGCAGCTCGGCCGGCGGGAGCTCCTTCGCCAGCAACGTCACCGAGGGCTCCGGTGGGTGGCGCGGCAGGTGGCACCATGGCAGGTGCCTCTCCTAAACCGCTTCCCGAAACTTAACCAGGCCCCTCCCGCATCTCCACAATGCGAACTCTGTTGTCTGAACCTGGCAATGTGGTAGTTATAAGCTTTTACAGGAAAGATACCTTTGGAATAATCAACTATGACATATCTGGTAAATTACCTTCCGCTCGCAAAAGCCACCACTGCCCCCCGAGGCTGCTTATCTCTTTAGATACCAAAATATAGGGTCCGTGACTGAATTTGTCTCCTATTTCAAATAATTTTAGTCGGTTTATAAAAAATAGGTATCATGTAAAAGGGTCAGATAAACATGTTAGATTATAAGTAACAGGGTTTTTTTTCCTAAGTTTACAATTTCCGAAATGAGAGAGTATCTATAATTAGACGTGTACTTTGGTGAGAGTGTTTCTCCTGCTGTAGAGAGTCTGCTGGTAAACCAGCTTCATACTTCAGTCACACACTGCACAGCCAGCACCTGAGGGTGGAAGAGAGGGTCAGCACGAGGGGAAAACACGGTGGAAATTAGGATAGTAGTTATTACCTACCACCACTAATCTGGCTGTAACATTCTGACAGCTACAGTCACTGAAAGATCCCTGCCCAGCTAATGGACATATAATACAGCCCCCTTGTTCAGAAGCACAGGGACACTGAGGAAACTGCATTTGAAAAGACGAGAGGGTAGTGGTGTGAGGCAGAGAGTTACCGTGTTGGTGACAGAGTGTCCTGGGTGGTGTCCTGCACACCAGCTGAGGGATGGGAAGGCTCAGGTACTGAAGGCAGTGTTGTAACTGGCTAGTGAGAGAAAGCAGGACAGGTCAGGGATTGGGTGTGGCTGCAGATGTGTGGACAAAGATTATAAGTAATCTAAATAATTAAAATTGTGCTGTATTATTGCTACCACAGCGTTCTTACTTTCATACCAACAATGAAGAATCCAGTTTAAATGCTCAGACGTCCTGATAATTTTCCTTCTTATGTCTTGATCAATGCCCAATTCTTCCAATTACTTCTTACTATTTGGCCATAAGGACCCAAAATCTGGAATCCTAAAACTTTATTTCTCTTATGCTGCTAGGAGGGTTGCTTCATTATCCGGCCACTGTTCATATACCCTTGAAATATCTCCCTGAAGAACACACTTCTCAGATTAGCCTTCCAGTCATCCCACTGCTAAACATTTTGCTCCAATATTCATTTCATTCCAGCCCTATCTCTTGCCCGTTCTCCTTACCACTTGCTGTCTTTGTATATTTCATTGTTATTTCTCATTATTGCTTTTTGTACCAGTGACTTTTAACAGGATTCACTGCATTTTTCTTATTACCATAGTAATCCTCTAATAATTTTTTTAGCAAGATTCTATGAGAGATAAACTGAGATTTAATATGTCTGAATATGTATTCACGTCACTCTTATTTCTGAAGGGGAGTTTGATGTAATTTGGTACAGAATTCTCAGTTTGAATTACTACAGAAACGGATTCATTGTCTTTCCTTAACCAGCTGTGCAAATGAGAAGTCTGGATCCAGTCTGGTTCTCAGAAATTTTGTTGTTAACCCAGTTTTGTCTCTGGTAGTTTTTACGATTTCCTCTTTATCCTTGATTTTCTGAGACACCTCTGCTGTGGATCTTAGTATGAGAACTTTAGATTATTTTCTCCTGCTTGGCCTCCTGTGGGTGACTGCAGGTTGATCATTCATTTTTAATTCAGCCCATACATTCTCAGATATCTTTTTTTTTTTTCAAATATTGGTTTTCTTCCATTTCTCTTTCTCTCCTGCTGGCACCTTTCTAGGTAGACATCACAGTGAACCCCACCTCCCAAGCCTGGGCTCCCCTTTTGCTCCTGGCCCCTCTCCCTCTCTTTCTGAGAGGGTTCTTTCGCCCTACTTTTTAGCTCAGAAATTTGCCCCTCATCTAAGTCCTTCCTACTCTTTAGCTTGTTTTTACCATTTTCATTCCAGCCATCTCTAAGTGGATCCCTTTTATCAGATCGTTCTAAATTGTGTTTTCTACCCCTGGAAACAATAAGCATATTATGGAGTTTAGTCCCGTTGTTCTGTCAGCTGCTCCCTCTAGCACACACTTCACACCTGCTGAGTTTGTTGTCTCTCAGTCGTGGTGTTGGCTTTTCCCAGATTTGTGATTTTCTGCTGGGTGCTGATCTCAGGTTCCTTCCCTGTTCACCTGGGGCTGCCTCCGGCTGAGCAACCTGCAGGGGAGGAGGGATGTGCTCAGCCAGCACCCAGGATGGCCTCTGCCCTGCTCCATGTGAGGAAGGACAGAAGGACGCTTCGGGCTGCAGCCACTGAGCTCTGGCACAGGGCAGTCTGCGCCTCTTCTGTCCTCAACCTCTAACTTTCCACACACTCATCTCTTCTGGACTGGGACAATTACTACTGCTACTTGACCCACGGTAGATCCCAAAGTAGGAGTGTGCCAGAGTCAGGCTGCCTGGTTGTTTCAGCCCTAATTAAACACTCTCCTGTTTGTGCCCGGAGCCTCCCCAGCTCCTAGCTTCTCGCTCTGTAGGGGTTGAGCGTTCTTGGTGATACCCTCACCTTTCGGCATCAAAACATTCTCAGAATATTCTCTGCTGTGATTCCATTCCACAGTTCCCAGGTCATGGGTGTCAGGTATTCCCCAGTGTTTGACATGATGAGAATTTGCTCCTTCTTTTTACACACATCTACAGATCTTAAAACACACGCCACATCACACCACACGCAGCACCCCTCCATCTCCTTGCTGATCTTCTGGACTTTGGAATGCCTCTTCCTTTTATTATGGATAAAAATTCAACTCTGGTTCCTGTTTCTAAATGTATGTAATTGGATTTATTACAGTGTTCAGAAAATAAAAGAGCCCACAGGAGTTAGGACACATGCAATGTGTTTTCCAGCATTTCCAGCAGAATGAGGAAGTGCAGCTTGGGCCCACTCTGCTGCCTCTGAGAACAGGCCCATTTGTGCCCCTCCAGATTCTTTCCCACCCTCTGTGCCTTTCTCCCACCCGCAACAGAGTCGCCTCTCTGGACCTGTATCCATGGGCTAATTTGCCCTCTGGCTTCCTATTGGGTTTGATCAGTGAGGATGATCAGGAAAAGCTCGGTGAAGTGACAAGAATGAGATTCTGGTATTATTGTCGCTTGTCTGTCCCTGCGGAGTGCTGAAGACTGGCTTGTCCCAAATGCCACACCCATAAAGTGGCCCTCTCTGCAGTGCCTTCTGTGACTCTGTATCTTATTTTGTTTAACTGCACCTGAGGCCTTAAATGTGTGACCCTGTATCTTCGGCATCAGTGCGACCCTGTACCTTCGGCATCAGTGCAGGGATGATACCCTCCGACATTCTTCTGTAGCGGCAGATTCCTGGGTCCTTTAGTACGGCTCTGTGTTCTGCTCCCTCCTCTTATCTTTTCAGTCTTAGATGGACTAGCCTTAATTCCTCTCTATTATACTTGAACTTTTAAAATCTTATCCACAATTTGTCAGTAGTGTTTTTATTACATTCTCCTTAAATTCCTTCTGTGAGGGTGCATCTATTTCATGCCCCCACCCTGTGATGCTCCGATGCTCTGATTGTACATCACAGCAGTGATGCTGCTGAGCACCAGCTCATGGGACGTCACCAAGGCAGCCTCCTGATGATACATGACCACTTCCTGCTCACAAAGAGAAGGGAGGATGTCTGTGCAGTACGCCTCTGGCACTCGTGGGCATCCAGAAAGGCCCCATTGTAGCACTGCTTCCTTCATGTAATAACAACATTTGTTGGTTTTTATTTTCTTCTGAGTGTTTTTCTGGGATCTTTGAATTTCGTCCTTTTTATGCTGCAGATAAAGTCAGCTGCAATTCATATCTCTAAACCTGTGTAATCAAAATCATTGAGGTGTTCAGCAAGCAGCCAATACCACAGTAATTGGTATCTACCCATCTTAAACTCTCAGAACATGTGGACAAGTCTGATGATTAAGTCTGGAACTTACGTTGGCAGCACTGTACAGACAACTCTGTAAGGTTTCACAGTTGTGATGTGTCAGGGTCTCACAGTTGTGTCTGTGCCGACGTGTCTTGCTGAGTGGCATTCTTTCTTATGGTGTGTTTTTGTGTGCCAAGGCGAGGATGTCAGAGCTTGAATTAGAGCAATGAACAAACATTCATAAATATCTTGTTAAAAACTTGACAGGAGTAGAAGTAAAATCAAGGACATGTTAGTCCAAGTTTATGGGGATAATGCCATGAAGAAAATGGCAGAGTCCAAATGGATTAGACATTTTTCTGAGGGGAGAGAAAGCGTCACTGATGAAGAGAAGTCAGGGAGGCCAGTAACAAGCAGAAATGATGAAAACATTGCAAAAATTCATCAAGTAGCAAACCAAATAAACACTAACAAAGAAACAACTGGGAAATCTTAACTGAAAATCCTGGCCAACAACTCATGGCTCTTGCATCATGACAATGCACCAGCTCATACAGCACTATCGGTGAGGGAATGTTCAGCCAGTCAACAAATAACGGTATTGGAACCCTCCTTACTCACCTGATCTGGCCCCCAATCCCTTTATCTTTACCTGAAGATAAAGGAAATATTGAAAGGAAGACATTTTGAAGACATTCAAGATATCAAAGGTAATACAACAGTAACTCTAATGGCCATTCTAGAGAAATAGTTCCCAAATTGTTTTGAAGGGTGAAGTGGGTGCTGGCATCAGTGCATAGCTTCCCAAGAGGAGTACTTTGAAGGTGACTGTAGTGATATTTAACAATGAGATGTGTAGCATTTTTTCTATATTGAGTTTACCTACTTAATTATCAGACCTCATAAGGAATCTAAGGGGTGAACAATTAGGTTTATAAATAAGAAAAACAGAAACAAAACTTTATGTGTAGTAACAAAAATTTATTACAAATAATAGTATCTCCCACTATTATCTATAATGATTTACGATTGATATAAACTAAGAAATTAGATTGAATGGAACTTTCTTCCATGGACTATCTGCACGTGTCATAGAAAATGGGATTGGTTCCTCCAGTAGTCAGTTTCTTCCAGGTCATCCCAGTGGAGAAAGGCTGGTTCCTTCCAGTTCTCTGTATCCTTCAGCTCCCTGGATTCTTTCACTCCAAGTTTGTTCCATTCGTTATTTCACTGAAAATCCTTCGTGCTTGTGCTCTCAGGCATTCACGTTTGCTTTGCATTTCTTGAGAGAAAGAACCACCCTCGGATGTGCTGGAGCAGTCACAGTGGCTCAGAGAAGCCGACTGTGCACATTTCTACCACTGCAGTTCAGTGACAGCAGGTCGGTAGCTTGAAATTGGCCGTGGTGGGAGTATTTATACAATGGAAACTGGCAAACACCGCAATTCAGGGATATTTTTTCCTTCTTTTTGGAAAGTCTCTTAAAACCTTTACCAGTACTTCACTTGAAATAACACAGGGATCAGCTGTATAACTTATATAAATTCTAATTTCATGCCAAAATAACATGATCATTTTAATTTAAACAATCATTGTGTTTTCTTTCGAGAGAACTCATTTTGAGTGAAAATGTATACGCACTAACAATTTATTTCACATCACACACAAGAGAATTAGACTGGCAGCCATTTCTATTTTTCAGGGTATCCAGGCCTCAACACACAGAGGGCGTGCTGTATTTCTTCAGAAGCTTCCCGGTAGTGACTGCATTTCACTAAGAGCTGCTGGGGCTAGCATTGTTTAATGCGTGGTTTCAATTTTATCTCACTTACAGAGTCAGGATATGTGACTAACCCATGACTTAAAACCTGACAGCTTTATCGAGCATCATTACAGCTGGTGTTTTCCAGTCTGTTAATCTCACTCATCTCCAACTTCCTACATAATAACTGGAAAAGACATTAGGAATGACATGTTTATGTGTGTGGACACAGTTGATCAATCCATCCAGGCTGTGGGGAATGCTGACTAAGGCACACCAGGTAAATAAACTGTAAACTGCAGGCTGTAAACTGAAGTCAGGAGGGCTGCAGGACAGAGCTCCGATTTTGATCTAGAATGACTCCTGTATCATGAACAGATGTGGCAAGAATTTGGATCCAATTGTGTGAGGGTACTTGATAGCATTTTCCTTGCTTCTTCCAGGGATTAAAATTATTATGGAAATGTATTTTCCAAATATTACTTTGCATGGAAATAGGAAGGAAGGATGGGATGGAGGGAGGGAAGGAGGCAAAAGGGAAAGAGGAGAGGGCAGGAGGAAAAAGAGGAAAGACAAAAGAATTCTAATTCCTGAGACTAAGAGCTGATAATTATAGCGCTTGGCTGAGTGCCGGGTATGATTCTAAGTGCTCTGCAGTGTATTGGCTTATTTGATTCTCCAACAACACTGTGAACTGACGTACTATATTTTTAATCCTGATTTTACTGAATGAGGAATCTGAGTCATGGACATGACCTTGTCCAAGGTCACTCAGCTATCATTAGTGGGGATCTGGGTTTCAAACCCAGACAGCGTGGCCAGTGTGTGCTGTCCAACACTACAAGCCACTGTCTCTGGCTGGATCATTAAAATCTAATCCTTGTTTCTCCTAGGAAAGTTCAAACAGGGTCTCACTTCATCAGATACCCCCTTTTTCATTATCCTCAAATAATACAATGAAGAGAAAGGGAGATGGAATGTCTAAAGACACTTGGAACTGGGTCAGATATTTCCCCCTTTTTATTCCCAAGTAAAAACAGTAATAAAAAGGAAGTCTAGTATTTAAATTGTTCAAGGACAAAAGAAATCAGCCACAGTTTCAGTAACTCCAAGCATATTTTGGCTTAAAGTTTCATTTATTAAAATGTTCACCAAAGAAAATAAATAAAATAAATAAAATGTTCATCTAGCAAACAAAATTTTAGTGGCCATGATTTTGTGACAAACACATATTTGGATTTGTTTTTCATTTGGCTCGAAGTTCCGTAAGGGCAGTCGCTACGGAATCCAGCCGCTCCCAGTCTGCACAGGTGCACAATTTGCGGCTTCACTGGATTCTAACACGAGTTTATGTCTCAGTGTACGTAAGAGTGTGTTGATTAGCTCTGTCCTGGTAAGTGAAGAACAGAGACCGCTCATCCCCATAATCAAATGTGTTCATAAATAAGGAGCTGTTTTAACAGTCTCATATGTGATGATTAAAAAAAATCCCTATAATTTAAAGACCCATCTCAGACCTTTACTTAATAGGCAGATGATTACAGATCCACCATGGACAATTACTGTTCCATGGGGGGAAAAAAAGTAAAAATAAATCAGTAGGCCTAGGAATCTGTATCTCAAATACACAGAAAACCCTAAATTCCTATGTCAGATTTTGCCTGGATTCTGTGTACATTCATAAATATTAAAATGTAGCTGGATTTTTAAGACTGAGAATATAAGATATAAATCAAACAAGGAAAGATGTTTTAATACTTTAAAACCCTTTAAGGCTTCTGTAACTTTAACAAACACTACTGTACAGAGAGCTTTCATTTAGCCGTAGAGCTCAGAAAGGTAAGTCAATAAACTGCTGTAATTTGGGGTTTACTTTTCTTACTTTTTAAAGTCAAATGTCACAGACTTATCCAACAATGAAAAATAAAAAAAAATTGAAGGAGTTTTGAAATATGATATGTGAAGAAGGCATCCTATATCCTGATTTAATGTATTCTGGAGTTTTCATGATTTTTATTCCAATAAACAATATGCTCCACAAAATTATATCACTCGTATTCCAACTTTATCATTCTGTAACATGCATCTTCCCAAATGTTGTGTCTTTATTTTCACACGTGCAGAACCTTGTTCACTCAGTCACGCTGGCCTGTCTTGCCGGAGCTCTCTCCCCACTGAGGTGCACTTGTCCAGGCTGTGATTATCCTCCCCTCTCTCACTCCATAAAAGTTTATCTATGCCTCAAGGTCCGGTCTGGCTCTATTCTTTAGCCTTATTTCCCTGTGGCTGGAGTCTCTCTCCTTCCTCTGAACTCTGTCACTTCATCCTAAGTCTCTTGCCTCACTCTTCTATCCTATTGTGCCTAAAATCGCACCTTTCTCATGAGAGAACAATTATTTTATATCAATTCAATTCAATAAATGAGTAATAAATGGACCCATGGACCTGAAACCACTTAAACTATCAAGTCACTCATGCAATATCATTTGATGTACAAAAATAAAAAAATATAAGAACAGCATTAAAGATATTTGGACTTTGGATAAAGAAATATTTGGCCATCTGTAAGAGACTATGCTGTGTGTGCTTTGTCAGCAAACCATTGCTGACCATTTCGCACAAGTTACACAAATGTCACGAGCTGGAAACCTACAGTCTCATTGATCTGTGTGTTGGGACAGAGGCAGGCATCCACTGTGCTCAGCTCAGTACCAGGAAAACCTTGTCGTTGTTGAGGCAGGTTGGACCTTCCAACCCCAACTTCTTTGTGGTATTTGAGAAGGGCAAGTAAATGACTCAGATTTTCTTGAAAGTACCAAATGGTGCTTTTTGATTCTTTATTTAGGCCCACAAAGAAACACTTGGAAGGTAATACAGAAACGCAGTCTTGTTCCTTACCTGGTACCACCTTCTACACTATCCCAAATACACAAAAAACCTGAATTTCTATGGCAGATTCTGTTGAGTGAGACTCTGTCTGCCTCCGTAACCCGGGCGCTTTCCTCCGCCTGCCATGTGCTGTCTCTCGGGTGCCTTCTTTGAAGCACGGGGAGATAATAGCTGTTTTTTGTGGTGATTGTTGTTGGGGTTTTTTTTACACTTGATAATCCTTCTTCTTGTACTTAGAATTTTGAAAGGGATTCTAAAGCTAATTCCTGGTCTTATGTGGTTTCATTGTAACCCTTAAATACTAATATTTGGGCCTTAAAAACAATTATTTCTTCCGTATTTTTCCTTGAGGAAGAGCTGTCTCTCAGGCACCAGCACCCACACCTTAGGCACGGAAGCAGTACTGTTTTGATCTCTGACATGTAGCATTATACAAGTTCTTCCCCAGAGAGCTGTCTAGCCAACTTAGCTCCTTTTTTGAAGACTCTTCATTAATACCTAGGTCACTATGAAAGTTTTGAGACAGACTGTGCATTGTTTCACTTCTAAGAAAAACAGTCGACAGCATCCTTTCTGACTGACCCAGGGAAGTTTATCAGAGTTGCTTAGTGGGAGGGGGGGCTTCATTCATTTCCAGCTGCAGGGATTTTACATTTTCTTAATTTTTGTGTATCTTAAAACTTCAGTTATGACCCACGCAAAGACCTTGCCACACACACCTGTGTCTGCTTCCTCAACTTGCCCATCAGTGCAGTGGGGCGTCTTTCTTGCCAAAGCGTAATTCATGTTACTGACATTTCTGTTCCTCAGTCACCTCAGAAGACGGCCGTTCTGTGGATCTCGGCTTCCGAGTTGATATTGAGGAAAAGGGATTCTACACGGAGAATTTTCATTCAGCAGCATGGGTTTTCCGTGGGGATGACGGGAATCCGGAAGACAGTCCCAGATGTCTCAGTAAAAAGCCTCGACCAGTAGCTGGTAAGGACTCCACAGTTATGATAAAATGTGTGTGTCTCAGAGAACCATGGCCGGCTCCAGGCCAGGCTCTGAAGTCAGCAAACTTGAGCCCTGGATGGAGTGTTGGGGAGATGAAGTGAGTGTGTGTGCTCCCACAGTGACACGTGTGTGTGTGCATGTGTACGCAAATTCAGTATGTTTCTTAATATTATAAAAGAATTTGAAGTTATTAAGACAAAAACTGCCTTCAGACCTCAAGCATAAAATCACAATTCCAAAGTTGGAATAAAGGTTAATGTAGCCAGTGTCAAGAATTTGTTGTTATCTACAAGTAAAAAATAATTATTAGTTTTTCAAATACACCAGAAAGTATAGAAGAAAACAAATTATCGCTTATTATTCAAATTCTTAGTATAACTATTTCATTGTTTTTGCATTATCTTTTTATAACAAACAGTTTTAGTCCTTTTTTAAACAAATATTATACAAAATATGCACTTGATATTATCATGAGTTTTTATCCTGTATATGACTTGATGGCCTTCTTACATGTAATAATATAATTATGCTTATTTATTAGTATAAGTTTTTTCATGTGTTTTTACAAACTTCTTTAATATTCTCAGAGTTTTATAATATTTTTATGAGGTTAATTTCAGTAAACTAAAGTTAATAACCCTGTATAACATGCATTGCCCTAATATAATAATGGCTATGAGTGGGGGGGGACCTTATGCCCGAGTAGTTTCAGCATGTGAAATATTATTTCAGTTGCATCTTTGCTGTAAAACTTAAGGTATAAAGCTCTGTGAACTTTCTATTTTATTGGTTAAATAACCTTCATAAGTAGTAAACAATGTAACTCAAGCAAGGAAAGATTCAAGTTGAAAAGAAGGTTTTAAATTAATTATACAAGCATGTGTTCAGTAAGCACCACCACTACTGAGGCGTAGGCTCTGGGGGAGTTGCTTTATAAGATACAGAGAGAAGGGACAGTTTGAGAGGATGGCAGGTTCTACAAAGAGGTACAGAACACTTTTTGTGCAGGCATCAAAATGTGCTCAGTGTCATCTTATCACCTCCTGTGCAGGTAAGATGTAATCATTCTTATAGGTAATATTTTTTGTTTTGTCTGTAGAGCAAAATAGAGCCTTTCTTAATTTTTTTTTAAATCAATGTAAAATTTATCAGTGGAAGATTTTAGTGAGAAGTTGTATATCTAATGAGCTTTTGATTATCAAAATGCATACCAGAATACAAGAGTTATATCTTGCATGTTGAGAATATTTACGTATATTCTTATCACAATATGAACATATTAAGCTTAGCTATTTATTAAATAGTAAGCATGGAATTCTGGATCTAAAATTTAAAATATTCAGAGTGGAATTAGGGAAAATTGCCACATGTCAATGTGAACCAGCTGTGGGACACTGATATACCAAGGTTATGAAAACTTACTGAGTTGTTTGTACAGTGGTGCCAAGGTGAGCATGTTGTGGCAAGTTTGTGAGCTTAATTGTCAAGCAATGAGTCAAAGTTTCACTTAAAAAGCTCCAAAGATCTGCTATACAACATCGTACCTATAGGCAACGATAATGCACACTTTGAAATTTGTTAAGGAGGTCAATTTCATGTGGTTAAGTGCCCTTAGCCACCATAAAACAAAACTAAGTAAAATAAATCAGAGCATCAAAAAAGATGAGGAGGATCTAGAATTAGTCTTAAAACCACAAATTTTTCTATATTCAACTTTTATTTGAGGACTAGGATGGCACAGGGAGTACACTCAGCTAAAGTAAGATGCTCAGGGTCAGGGTCTCCCTTTGTTCACTGACGCACTTCAAACACCTAGAGCAGCACCTGCTGGTTCAAGGGAGGCCAAGACACATTTGTCGGATAAACAAATAAAAGTGCCTGGATTTCAGTGCTGTTCATTGACTTACTAGCTATGCGTACTTAGAACAATTGTTTATTTACTATAATTTTACCACATCACAAAAAAGAAATGAAATTACAAATGTGAAAATTATAATGGGATTTTCTATCCACCTTAGATATTTCTCCCACCTTTATTTTTCTTAATTTTTATGAGAATTTTGGCTGAATATTAAATATATGCTTATGTATATTCACTTACATTTATATGTAAATTATACACAACTTACATATAATATACTTACTAAGTTGACAAAGATTTATTGAGTATCTGTTAATGGCAGGAACCTGAGAACATTAAGATGAACAAATACAAGTTTTCCCCTCATACTATTTTGGCTAAAATCTGATGTATTAAATATGTCTAAGAAAGTACAGTTACTAAAATTTCTACTATTTAATTTCTTATTTTCAGACAGAGTCTCACTTTGTCACCTTGGGTAGAGTGCCATGGCGTTATAGCTCACAGAAACTTTAAACCCTTGGGCTCAAGTGATTCTCTTGTCCCAGCCTCCTGAGTAGCTGTGAGTACAGGCCCCCACAACAATGCCCGGCTGTTTTTAGAGACAGGGTTTGGCTCTTGCTCACACTGATCTCGAACCTGTGCGCTCAGGCAATCCACCCACCTTAGTCTCTCAAGTGCTGGGATCACAGGCATGAACCACCATGCCTGGCCTTTATCTATTATTTATTGTCATCAAAGAGGAGCATTTTAGTTAATTCACTATTATTTACTTTGGTAAAAGAAAACAAATGGAACTTTATTAAATATATATAAATTTTCTTTTTTTTTTTTTTGCTTGATATATGCACACACCTATGTGTACATACACACATACATATATATACACACACACATACATAGATGGGAGATCTGACAATTAATCTCACAAACTTGCCACGACATGCTCACCTTGGCATCACTGTACAAACAACTCAGTAAGGTTTCATAACCTTGGTATATCAGTGTCCCAGAGCTGGTTCACGTTGACATGGGGCAGTATCTTGCTGAGTGATGTTCATTACTATTGTAGTTTTTGTGTGTCATCACAAGAATGTCAGAGCTTGAGTTAGAGTAAAAAATGAACATTAAATTTCTTATTAAACTCGACAAGAATGGAAATGAAATCAGGGACATGTTAAGTCCAAGTTTATAGGGATGATGCCATGAAGAAAATGGCAATGGACATGGATTAAGCATTTTTCTGTTTAATGAAAGCATCATGGATGAAGAGAGGTCAGGGCAGCCAATAATGAGCAGAACTGATGAAAACACTGCAAAAAATTCATTGAATTCATTGAATTATGTGTCAAAATCATCAGCTGACTGGGAGAAGCATCACAGACCAAGTAAACCTCCATAGAGGAAAAGGAAAGTCTTGACTGAAAGTCACTAGGAAAATCTTAACTGAAAGTCACAGCCAAGACCTCATGGCTCTTCTATCACGACAATGCACCAGCTCACACAGCACTGTGTGTGAGGGAGTTTTAAACCAGTAAACAAATCACTGTATTGGAACACTCTCCCTAGTTACCTGATCTGGACCCCAGTAACTTTTTTCCCTTCATAAAGATAAAGGAAATATTAAAAGGAAGACATTTTGATGACATTCAGGATATCAAGGTAATACAATGACTGCTCTGATGGGCATTCTAGAAAGAGTTCCAAAATGATTTTAAAGGGTGAACTAGGTGCTGGCATCGGCAGTGGTGACTATAGTGATATTCAGTAATGAGGTGTGTAGCACTTTTTCTAGGATAAGTTCCTGAACTTAATTGTCAGGTCTGGTGTGTGTTTGTATATGTATGTGTGCAGATGTATACATATATATGAAAATATGTTTAAATGCTGCAAGTGAACTTCATAGTATCATTTACTGGACCTCAGTTGAAGAATGTACTAGGTACCTTTCTTCTTGTTACCAAGACCTGAGCTGTTATGTACACCAGATGTGTATGTGTATGTGTGTGTATGTATGTATGTGTGTATATGTGTATGTGTGTTTGTGTATGTGTGTGTGTTCTTAAATATGTGACGTTGAGAGACCAGTGGAAGGAGATGCAGAGGGAAAGAAAAGGAGAGTTAAAAGTTAATGAGCAATTTTTTTTTAAATTTTTTTAGAGACAAAGTCTCACTTTGTCACCTTCGGTAGAGTGCCATGGCATCACAGCTCACAGCAACCTCCAGCTCTTGGGCTTAGGTGATTCTCTTGCCTCAGCCTCCTGAGTAGCTGGGACTATAGGCACCTGCCACAACACCTGGCTATTTTTTTGTTGCAGTTTGGCCAGGGCTGGGTTTGAACCCATCACCCTTGGTATATGGGGCTGGTGCCCTACTCAGTGAGCCACAGGCGCCACCCTAATGAGCAGTTTTTAAACTGAAGAAAATCTTCATTAACCTAATAGCATTTTAAGAAAGCTCGATGCTATTAATATTTCATTAATAATTTATATCTAACAGCATGTATTTTATGAGAATAAATTTTACACTTTAAAAAATATAGCACATCTAAACTTTGATTTCCTAAAGGAGTTCTTGTGAGTTGCACAGATAACAAAAGTTAGTTATCATTATAGAACAGTATTGCTGGTACTGAAAAAAAGGGGGATATTTTCAGTGCATGGGTTGTGTTATATTTATGGAAATATTTGCCCTTCATTTACATTTTTCCATCTAACAAGATGATTCTAAGGAAGTGTTATTTGGGGGTATAAATTACTGGAAGATGTGCCCACATGGTCTCTGAAAAGACAATGACATTCCTTTGTGGCTTTTCAGCAGCTGTGTGGCACTCATAGATTTTCCACCAGACTGTGGCAAGGGAAACCAGGACTATAAATCTTAAAATATGAGAAACTTGTCTTTCGAAGAGGAGGGAATGTGTTGCAAACATTTTGATTGCCTCTTGTCCCACAGGAGAGCTCTGCCGTTGAGCTCACCATTTAAAGATGTTATTGGTTTTTACTTTCACACACATTGTTGACATTCAATTTTTCTGATTGAAAAACAAAAACAAAAACCACAGCCTTGAAAACAATATCTGTATCAACAGTCTCATGCAATACAAAACAAAACCAACATG